ACTACTACTACTACTACTACTACTACTACTATTACTATTACTACTACTACTACTACTATTACTACTACTACTACTATTACTACTACTACTACTATTACTACTACTACTACTATTACTACTACTACTACTATTACTATTACTACTACTACTATTACTACTACTACTATTACTACTACTACTACTATTACTATTACTACTACTATTACTACTACTACTATTACTATTACTACTACTACTACTATTTCGATTAGTACTACTACTACTACTACTACTACTACTACTACTATTACTACTACTACTATTACTACTACTACTACTATTACTATTACTACTACTACTACTATTTCGATTAGTACTACTACTACTATTACTACTACTACTATTACTATTACTACTACTACTATTACTATTACTATTACTACTACTACGATTACTACTACTACTACTATTACTACTAGTACTACAGAAGAGCGCTCTTTTGCTTTGCCAATGGCTGTAGGGTATTCACGTTACTATTATTTATTTATCTGTACTCATAAGTTCTTCTGAATATGTATTTCACTATATAAAACAGGAGACAAATCATTAAAAATATCTCAGATATATACCATATAACGTTCATCTCTATACTCATGACCTGTTTAAAAAGAAACAAAATACATACAGAGTTGAAAGCTATGCCTCCCTTTAGAAGTCATCACACTTCCTGAGTTTGGTTAAACCCCAAGTTTTAAAAGTTATCTATAAAGCATCGTATATTGAGAACACAGTGATCACAGGCTGATTTTTCCAGCATAACGTGGTTTATTGTCTTTCAGAGATATGTATTGAACACTTACTTGTTCAGCCCTGATGCTGGGCTTTGGTTTAAGTTAGCCACTTGGGGGAAAATGTGACAACCATAACTGTAACAAAAATCAATGCTTACCTACATGTGTTTGTGCAGCAAAATGTAGTACGATATCTATTTTCTGTGTTTCAAAAAGCAGTTTCACAAAGTGAGAATCACATATGTCACCCTACAAAAAAACACAAACATGAAAAACCCTAAGCAACAGCGACCACTCCATTCATTGTAACCATTTTCACTATATGAGTAAAACATGATATGGAAAAATTCATTCTGACCATTTTCTGGACCTGGTTATTTTGACAATTCAACCACTGGTCAAGTATAATAATGATCTATTTACCCAGCATCTTAGGATACAAAACACTCATTCCAAAACAGTTTTGAAAATACGTGTCAAAAACACCCTATTTTACCAACTGCTACAAAACACTATGTTAGTTTCTTAAATGACATTCTTGCAAACCTAAAGCCACTTTGTGCCGTCCAGTGGGAAACCCTGTACAGGGTTTTCAAGGAGCAGCTGTTGGGTTTGAACTGCTGACCTTGTGATTCACAGTCCAGTGCTTACCCTTACAGTGCCACACCAGAAGTCCAAGGCCACTACACTAATAGGAAAAATTTTAAAACATTCTTAAAAACTGGGAGATAACCTTATTGAAGGGTATTTCAAGTTAAGTATAAGAAATAGAATGTTACTTTGAAAAACTAGGTAAAATTATGAGTACTTTTGATGTTATATGTATATAAAAATTCATACTCTCAACAAGTCTTTGATAACTGAAGTAAACTTTGTTATAAAACAGACTTGAGAAACAGTTGCTGAGTATGTTCTTTAAACTATGATTTAGAAGGAAGTTAATTAAGTCATTTTAAAAAATAAAGTCACAAGAAAGTATTTCATTTGACAGTAACAACTGCCTTTGCAAATGAACAAACTGGCATTCTTGTTAGACATGTTAGATTCTTCTAAGAGGGTTTTGCATGTATCAGCCTTCCGGAGACAATCACCTTTCACGTAGAAGGTTAAGGTGTGAGTTTCTTGGTGGGCTTTGACTATTGGCTGGCCCTACTGAGTAACATTCCATTTTATACCAATCCCTTCAAATCCAAGAAAGATCTTATTACAGAGGCTTTATTGTTTTTGTTAAGTGCTGTCGAGTCAATTCTGACTCAGTGACCCTGTACAGATAAGGTTTCTGAGGCAAATCTTTGTGAGAGCAGAAAGCCTCATCTTTCTCCTGAGGAGAGGCTGATGGGCTTGAACTGCTGAGCTTGTGGTTCACAGTCCAGTTTTTATCCTACAGAGTCACTGGGATCCCCATAAAAGAGGCTAGTGAGGACCGAAATATCAAAAACCTTATAAATTCAATCTGTTACATATCTATCAAGAAACCAAAAGTCACATGTAGCTTTTTAATGTGTCAATCTGAAAGTATTATTCTGTAGAGCACATGGAACTTCTAGAAATAAACAACCTGAGTTTTCAAAAGGTCTTTGGTGAGTATCCTTTCCAATTCCATAGTATACAAGCTTGTCAGATACTATAATCTCTGCATGATTAAAGAGGAACAGAACAATGGTTATAAGAAAATCTCCATACCTGTATAAATTTGTAATTTTGTTTCATAGAAATGGTTTCAAGATTCTTCAAACTTGCACAGTAATCCAGCTAAGAATGAGGAAGTACAGGGAAAAACAACACCAAAAATGGTTAAGTATTAGCTTTTCTAATAAGATGCCAACTTAAAGACTAAAGACACTTTGATGGTAATACAAGAACATGTCCTCTTAAAGTGTGTTTACTCTTTGTCTTTTTAAGTTTCTAACATCTCAAAAGTAAAAACAAAATAAAGGCAATGTTATCTTTTTAAAATAAAATTTAAAAAGCTTTTTAAAGTAACTTTTTATAAATCACTACTTTTAACATGTTCTGTTTGGATTTACCTCTAACCACAGGTCACTAAAATAGACTTAGTGAATGAAAACCATTATACTTGTGTTAGGTAAATCATAACTCATACCTGATCCTGAGTTAACTCTTGGTAAATCAGTGTAGAGATAGGAAAAAGGTAAAAAAAAAAAAATCAAAATCCTGTCTATCATAAGGGAGGCAAAAAAAAGACGTAATGACCATTCCTTGCCTGTGTATTTCTTACTACTACATTTTATGAAATTAAGGTAACAATTTGCATTTTATGTTGAAACTCAAAGTCTTCTTAGTGATTAGCAATCATAATTTTCAGATTCTCCAGGGAGACTCCAATTACAACTGCAAAAATTTCAAAACTAAATTTAATTGCACTTTAATTTTTTAAATGTTATAATTTTTACAGGAGGTGGCAGTTATAAAATCAAATGCTCAAGATGGTGTATACCAACTCCAAAAAAAGATCCCCCCCAAAAAAACCCAAAAGCCAAACACCTACTCTCAAGGCAACTGTGACATAACAGAGACCCTACTGGATAACATAGAGCTAGCTGCCCCAAGGGGTTCTGAGGTTATAAATCTTTACAGAAGCAAGCCACCTGTCTTCCACCTGTGGAGCAGTTGGTAGGTTAGCAACTGAGCACTTTAACCAGTGCACACCAGGGCTCCTAGTAACCACAAGATTCACTCAAAATTGAATTTAGAAATTCAATACTTTGTTTTGGCAAAAATACTGCACTCCAAATCTTTACTTTATGGACCATCATAATAAACTTCAGAAGACCTTATGAAAGGTAAAATCAGCATGAATACTTAACGGTATAGGCTCCTAAATTGCTCAAATGACTAAATAAACAACTACAATATTAATATGATAGGCATCTAGTTTTTGTGTATTTTTTTTTAATGCAGTGTTCAGGGCATGATGCTCATTTTAGAAAACTTACCTTGTCTAGATTTATAATCATGTAGTTTGGATAATCTTCTACTAAAGAGACAATCACATGTGATGCACTACAAGAAGAAAACAATTATTGTTGGTGGAAAAGTTTAACCTCCTTAAGTTCTTATATTTTTCTTTTATCAAATATTAGGAAACCATTCAAAGATATCTTTATACTTTTCCAAAAGAACCAAAGCAACAGTGAGTACATATCTCTATACAAAAGCTTATATTCCCTTTAGACTATGGAGAAAAGAGAACTTATTTGCCATAGTAGGTATAAGGAAAAAAAATGAGTTTAAACAAATGATACTGTCTCTATTTGCTCTGACTGATGAGAGTGAAAAAGGATGATAAATACAGTGGTCCCCCAACTGCAATGAAACAATAAAGTACCTTTTCAGAGGCTAGATGTATAACTCTGTAAAAATGAAGTCAGCATGAGCATAGTTGTTTATGTTCACAGTAGTTCTACTGCAATGGCTATTTCTTGGTATGAGACTTTGATGGTGGGAACCAGAATCCTGGCGGGAGGAGGGCGTTAGGTCCCAGACTGAATCAATGTTCCCAGATTATTAATGGCTGGAGCCATCCTGAGTTGTATATTCATGGTGGAGCTCAGAGTACCCTAAAGTGAAACCAGAGCCATATCTCAAGGAGATGAGCCACCAGATGTCATCAGATGTACTTCAATACATGCTTCCCGGAACAAAGCCAGGCCTTGACCAAACTACAAACTCAAGAGTTTATACTCAGCAGCCCTTTGACAGTATTTGCTAAAGCCCAGGCTTCCTTGACCAGCAATCTCCTACACTTACCACCCTTTGCTGCCAGCAGTGCTTGTCTATTACCTCCTCCAAGTGACTGTCAGATAAGAAGAGACTACTATGTTAATGGCAAGATTTTCGCTCTTCTTTCACTAGATAGTGAATTCCTGGATGGTAGTGAGTTTCCCAATTATTGCTCATTTTTTCAATCATTCCACAACTAGAGACTTTTATAAAGTGGGCCAGGCATTCTTTCAGGTGCTGAGTGAACAATACCCTCTGCCCTCATTTAGTTTACATTCTAGAATGCAGGCGCAGGCAATAAACAAGTTAACACAGAAACAGCAATGTAATTTCAGGTACTGATTGCTGCTGTTAAGTGTCATCGAATAGGTTCTGATTCATATCGACCCTGATTTGGGTTTCTGAAGAGTGGCTGGTGGGTTTGAACCGCTGACGAAGTTAGCAGTCATTAGCAGTCCGGTGCTTATCCTACAATGCCACACCAAGACTCCTTGATAGGAGGCTGTTGTTCCGCAGCAAGTCATTCTGACTCAGTGACCTTGTATAGGATTTCGGAGGAGCAGCTGGTGGGTTTTAAGCTGCCAATCTTCTGGTTAGTAGTCCAGTGCGTATCCTACTGTGCCACACCAGGGCTTCATGTATAGGATGTTGTGGTTACGTGTTATCAAGTCGGTTCGGACTCACAGCGACCCTATACAGGGTTTCGAGAAGCGGCTGGTAAATTTCGGCCTCTCAGAATTAAGCGGTGTAGAGCATAAGCAAACAGGTAAGCAAGTGCAAAGGCTTACCTACTGTGTTTGAAGAACTGCAAGAAGGTAAGTGTGGCAGGGACAGAAAAGCAAGGGGTACAACGGTAGCAGATGAGGTTGGAAAAATGCAGGCACTAGGGCATCGTTTTCTAAGCGTGATAAGGTGTTGGGATTGTAGTCTAAGAATGGTAAGAATCGTCGCGGTAAAACTCTACACACGAAATACATTGATTTCGGTATGAAGAATAGACTCGAAGAAAACAAGAGTCGAGAATGATAAAGGAGGATATCGTGGTAGGCTAGGAAAAAGACGGTACCATGAACTAGGGTAGGCTGTGGCGGGTGGCGAGGTACTTGGGAAGTAAAGCGTACTTGCTGATGGAATGTGGGTGTGAGCGGAAAAGAGGCATCAAACGTCCAGTACACGTCCAGGTACCATAATATTTTCTAAATTGCTGAATAATTGAACGCCTTATAACCACTGGGGGGAAAGTGGGCGGCATTCCGCCTTATGCACTGCGCATTTCACCGCTATGTGCACAGGCTTTGTGACTGCGGACTGTAAAATGTGCCAACTTAAGACAAGTGACAGCTGGTAAGAATCCCAGGCCAGGTAGGGCGAATGGCACCACATTCGTTTTATTTGGGAGAGAGACTTGTTAAAGATGTCGCAGCTCCTAAGGAACCGCGTCTTCGCAGGCCGGGGACCGGGAGAAGGTATCCAGGATGATCGCACATTAGGGCTCTCCCCCATTATTAGGCACCCAAAACTACTCCCAAAGCTTGCCAAGCAGAGTCACAGGAAAAGACTGAGGTTTCTGCTCGGCCAGAGGCGCAGTTACCTACATGAAACCAGCACCCCCGGTCACCAGGAGTCGCTTCGCAAAGTTACTGGGAGGACCCAACAGTTCCGCCTCAAGCTCCGCCGACATTTCCCAGCTCGGAAGTGACTGGCACCGTAAAGCGCAGAGGATGAAAACCATAGGGAAATTCCACCGCGACATTTTACGACGCTTCTTACAGTCTCTCCCTTTCCGCCCCCTTCCCCCCTTTCCACTCCCTTCCTCCACCTACGACACGTTAACCAGGCAGCGGGCCACGCTAGCGGACTGGGCGGGGCCTGTTGTGCACCCTCTGGCGGCCTATGCGCAAGCGCAGACGTCTCTCGGGGGATGCTGGCTGGAGTGTTTTGGGAAGATACTTAGAAAAGTTTTTGGAACCGGCATCATCAGGTGGATTAGGTTTGATTTAGCCTTAGGTGATTGGAGTTAATGAGCACATTCTTTTCATTTTGATACTACAGCATCTTTAGAGATTACGCACCAATTGAGTAGCGCTCAGTTTTCTTGGCAAGTGTGCAAGCTGGATTTGAACCTTTCACTGTTAATGTTGTTATTATTACAAACAACGCAGGGAACTTGCAGTCATTGTAAAGGCATTCCCTAGATCTATCTTTAGATCGTAACATTTACCCCACAACACCACCAGGATTTCTTTAATTGGTAATGTACATGAAATTTTCATTACATGAAATCGCTGGTTGCCCTGTAGGATAAGCACTGGATTATTAAGTAACCACAAAGTGAACGGTGCAAACCCACTAACTGCTCTGTAGGAGAAAAATGAAACTTTCTGCTCCTGTAAAGATTTACAAGCCCAGAAACCCTACATAGAGTCTGTAAGTTAAACTGCCTACACACCTCACAGCTAAGGTACTCAAATTCCGTGATGTATGTTGTAGATTGTTGCAGAAAAACAAAAATGCCCGTTGCTGCATTGTTTATAATATTGAAAAACTGGGTACAACCTAAATGACTATTAAAAACATACTTACCAAGTATAGGTTGTTGTTTGTCATTATTACGTACCATGAGTCAGTAACAACTTTTAGCGACGCTGTGTAAAATGGAACAAAACACTGCCAGGTCCTGGGCCAACCTCACAATTGTTGTCACTCTTGAGCCCATTGATGCAGCCATTTTGCCAATCCATCTCGCTGGGGGTCTTCCTCTTTGTCTCTGAACCTCCACCTTACCAAACATGATACTCTTTTCCAGTGACTGGTCCCTCCTGACAATATATCCAAAGTATGAGAGACAAAGTTTGCCATCCTGGCCTCCAAGAAACACTCTGGCTACATGTCTTACAACACAAATCTTTTGGTTCTTTTGGCAGCGCATGGCACTTTCGATATTCTCCTCCAACACCATAACTCAAAGGCATCAATTCTTCTACGGTCTTCCTTATTGACTGTCCAGCTTTCACATGCATATGATATGACTGCCATATATCTTTTAGAAAGTGTGTGCCACCATGGAGTGAGGATCGCAATATGTCGTGGTGGATTTTATATGACCAGACTGCCCCATCTTTTAGGATCTCCCCAAGTTGAACAAAGCCTGTACCCCTACACAACCACCACAGGGATAGGCCAACTGAAGCCGTTTTCTAGGATTTGAAATTGGACTAAAATTCTAGCACAGTTTTGTTAGTCTTGAACTCTGAGGACCTATAAATTCAGAAATTGTTGCTGGTCATGTTTTCGTTGAACTGAAAAACGAAAAAGCCTCTCTTAAGTGAGAGAAAAATCAAATTGATCATGAAGAGAAGAAAGAAAAGTGACAGAAAGAGGCCTCACCACATCCAAAGCTGAAATTGTAGCTTTTCGTCACTACTAATGGTATTCTTGTCCTTGGTTTACAACTACCACATGTATCTGTAAACACAGGTCTGAAAAGATCACCCTAGAATATTAACAAAAGGGACTCCTGATACGTTGCTGTTGTTATGTGCCGTGGAGTGGGTTCCTACTCATAGCGACCCTGTAGAGGGTTTCCGAGGCTGTAAATCTTTAGGGGTACTGTAGAATTAGCATTGAACTACCAACCACAAGGTCAGCAGTTTAAACTCACCATGCTGCTACTCAGAAACCTTATGCAAGGTCCCTCTTGAGTAGGAGTCGAGTAGACAGCACTTAACAACAATAAAATATAAACAAAGGTTATGTCTGGGTTAGTATGGACAGGAATAAGGAGGAAATGGGGACTTTCATTTTTACTTCATAGACTTTGGACCAAAAAATTTTTTAAACTATAAATTTTCTAATTAGAAAAGATCCAATGCATCTTCTAAAAGGATAACACTTCAAGTTTATTGCTAGTCAGCCAGAGATCCTGAAATTGCTGGTAAACCTTGGAAACCCTATACCAGGGGCTCTATGAGCCGGAACTGACTATGGCAATTAACAACAGGATAGGTGGTCTTCCCCACCTCTCCCCTGTCTTGTTCTAAATGGTGAGGTGTAGCTATTGCAAGTTTATTATTATATGTATATATAAAATCCTGTTGAATGAAAAAAAGAGTTAATATACATTAATTCATGAAGTAATTTTGAACATCTATCAACACAGACATAGTCTTTGATCAGCTGGAGCGTATACACACTTGGAAATAGTTTGGTAGGTGTTCTAATAGGAAAGTAAGGAATATGGGCCCCGGGGGCATCTAATACAGATTTGTGATTTGGGGAAGTGCCTTGGAAAAGAGGGGTAAAATAAGCTATTAAGGAAGATTACTGGTAGAACAAAGTATTGCAGCCAGGGGGAACTTCTCGTAGTATAGAGCCTGATGTGAGAACATGGAGTGTCCAGCTAACTGAAAGTAACTTGGTAAGGAAGGAAATGAGAAGTGAAGAGACCAACATTTGAGGGACTAGAGACTTGAGAGTCATATTCTGGAAGTCCAAGTTACACAGTAAAAGCAATCATGAGCCTTTGAGAGAGTTCCTGGCTACCATTGAGTTGGTCTCTGTCTCATGATGACTCCATGCACAGGAAGATGGTCCTAGGAAATCAGACCATTATCCTTACTGTTTTCATTGGCTGTTTTTCTTTAGACCATCAGAGTTTTCTTTCTAGTCCCTCTCAATCTGAAAATTCCACAGAAACCTGTTCAGCATCGTAGGAAAGGGAATGCAGTTAAATTGAGTTTCCCAAAACTTTCAGTGTATCTAAAGTGGGCAGAAGGAGTTCTCTGGCGGTGCTGTGAGTTAGGTATTGGGCTGCTAACCTCAAGGTCATCAGTTAAAATGAAGCAGCAGCTCTGCAGGCTTCTGCAGAGGCTGTCTGAGCCTGTGAAGATTTGTAGTCGGAGGAACTCTAGGGAGCAAGTCGGAGGAACTGTCCTATAGGATCACTGTGAGTTGGGATCATCGGCTGGAAGGCAGTGGGGGAAGATAGGCAATGGATGGTAGCCAAATGGATCTATTAAGACTGGAGGCAGGTCTGTTGCAATAGGTTAGTAAGTGATGATGCTAAGGTGGTGTCCTGAATAAGATAGTGGCTGCTGCTTCCTACCTTAATGGCCCAGAAGAGGTGCTGATAAACTTATAATTGAATTGACTGGGTGTGTAGGTGTGATGAGAAGGCAACACTGTAATTCCCTGCAAGAAGGCAGGGAACCTAGAAGAGAAAAATTGGTTGGAGACACTCAGAGCTCGTGCTCTGAAGTTTGTAGAGGTATGATTAACTACTTCTAAGAAGTTAATGTAGAAGTGTCCATTAGGCTATATAGGTATGAGGGAAGGCTGACTAACCAACATTCTATGATGGTTACTAGGGTGGGAGTGTGTGTGTGATTGAGGGGTGGTGAGGAAATTAGTCATGGGCTAGAGGGTAGACACATTAACATGGGTGACAGAGCAGGCAATATACTAGACGGAGGTTGGCAGAGGGACAGATGAAGGTAGCAGGAGACACAGGGAGGAGTGCAAGACTTAAAGGAACTAGAATAGCCCTGGTAACTTACTGGCTTACGAGTTCGGCTAACAGAAAGGTCAGTAGTGTGAATCCACCAACTGTTTCCCTGGAGAGAAATATGAAACTTTGTGCTCCTGAAAACTCTATTCAGCGTCACTATGAGTCAGAACCGACTCAATGGCACACCACCACCACCGCCGCTAAGTGACGGTACCTGGAGGGGATTGCAAACATTGTAATGAAGCAAAATATATAATTTGCTGAATGTTGAACTAATGATGTATTCTGTAAATCTTCACTCAATTCACAATAGAAAGTTCTTTTTAAATTTTATTTTAAAGAACGTGTTTCCTGGGACAGGAAAGCAGAACAAATGGAAAAGGAGAACCCAGGAAGGATGTAGGAAGAGTGCTGTTACCTTGAATGGATTCCAACTAATGTTAGGAAATAAAATGTGTATAAACCATTGAAGGCAAACTAATTTGCTCTTAAACTTGTATTCAAACTTAAATAAAATGTTAAAAAACAAAAAACAAAAAAAGAACATCTTTCCTGATTTCTCTACTAAAACCAGACTAGTCTTCATGTTTTAGTTCGTCCCAGAATTCCAGACACTCCCTGCAAGGACCACCCGTGACAGCGCTTCTGCGCAGGCATAGAGGCACCCCACGCCAAAATAAAGAAACGGAGGAACCTGATCATTTTTCCATATCCCTAAGCAGCAGCATCTTTAGGGTGCATAAAAAAAGGCGGGAACTAGTAAAAAAGCAGGAGAATGATTGGACGCGCAGATCTGTACGTCCCGCCCACTTCTATCCCTGATTAGTGAGTGTATTTGGCACATGGTAAAGGGGCCTGTTTCATTGGCTGACAGTCTCCCACGGTCGGGTTCCTCCAGGGATAGGCCCTGCCCCTATCCTGTCCCCTCCTATCCACCCCTCCCCCTTAGCTGTCGACGTGGGGCCGGCGGCCGGAGGCGGTTGGGGCAGGGGTGTTGGTGAGGAGTGGGAGGCGGGGATGGGGGGGCTGCGGCTGCTGGCCGTGGCCCTCACGTGCTGCTGGTGGCCGCAGGGCAGCCAGGGTAAGACCCTGCGGGGCCATTTCAGCTCCACTGCGGCCCGAGACGCTCAGGGGCAGAGCATCGGTCACTTCGAGTTCCACGGTAGGTCCGGGGCCCGGGAGAGGACTGCAGGCGCGTGAGCCCATCCTGCCGGCCGGGCCGCTCCGATGGGGAGAAAGGCCGGGACCCCGCGGCGCCCAGGCCCCTCCCCGCCACTTTGGGAGGCCTCACCTGGATGTCCGCGCCGCCGCTCCCGGAGCCGCAGGGGTGTCGCTGCCACTTGTCCCCACCACTGACCCTGGTATTCTGCACCTGAAAGGCCATTTCGGTTCCCAACCCGCCCCGTACATTCGGCTTCGTCTTTCCAGATTCTTGGATCAGAGAACCTAGGCCCCGTGGTCACCTGTCAATCTGAGCCCAGAAACTGACGCTTCGTGGTGAGGTCTTTTTGTCCCCCCAGACCCACTTCATAAAACCTTATGAAGAGGTTTTGGGAACCAACGAAAACATCGGGTCACACTGTTGATGTAACAGTTTGGCTACTCCGCTATTGATGGAGAAGATCTACTATGAATCATGAGGCCAAAAATTAAGTTCACAAAAGACGTAATTAGCGTCCTTGAGGCGTTATAATTTGTATCATCTCCGTCTCTCCTGAAATCAGAGCCACATTTGATCCTCCTCCAAGATCAATGATTATTTCTCCAATGAATGAAATTGCAATTCATTCTAATTTTGCTTTATGTATTACTGCATTCTCAAAATTTAAGTGGTTTTCTTACATCTTCTTTGTTGTTATGTGCCGTGGTGTTGGTTTTCAACTCATAATGACCCTGTTACGGTTTCCAAAGAGCATTTGGTGGGTTTGAACCCTCGACCAGGTAGGTGGTCAGCAGTCCAGTGCTTATCCTACAGCGCCATACCAAAAGTCTCTTCATCCTCCTGGTACCTCTTAATTTGACTAGTAAAGAGCGCTGGTGACATTGGTTGCTAGCTGTAATGTTGGCAGTTCAAACCCACCAGTGGCTCCACTGTAGAAATGAAGCTGACTGCTTAGAAATGACTTGATGGCAATAGGTTTTGGTATTTCTAGGACTTGGGCCTTGATGAGATTAGGATCCTCTTCATACATAATTCACGTCATACAGCCTTGAGAATTAAAAGCTGTAACTATGAAGCTCTTCAGAATAGTAGCTTAGGGAAGCTATTTAAGAGAAGTGATAGAAACTTGATTTCATGTTGAAAAGGAATTTAAAAGTTTAGGGGCAATTTCAGAACTGGTGGTACAAAAGAAGTACCTGATTTTATTTTATTTTTTTGCTTTGAAGTTTTAAAGATAACTGAGAAAAGTAGGTGAAATCCAGTTTTCAAATTTTAAAAAGAAATACAGCTTGAGGAGTGAAGATGAAACCATGAATTTTACACAATTTTACACATTTTTCACTTTCTGCAGTGGCTGTACAGTGAGTTGACTCTGACAGTAGTATCACTGTAAGAGATGGCACAGTGCTGGGAAACCTGGGACATTGGTAACTGATCAGATGTTACTGGTGACCAGCAGAGTGACTTACACAACCCCAGTGTTATGTGCTGATTACTTGGCAAAGGCTTATACTAAATCCAGGCTTCACAAGAAATACTGGGGAATAAGATATCCTGAGGATATTTTATGTGTGTGTTTTAGCTATCACCAGTGTTCTGCAGGTGGTGGTGTTAAGTGCCTTGCAGTCTGTTTCCACTCATAGAGACCCTATGTGGGATTTCTGAGGAGCTGCTGGTAGGTGTGAACCATCTATCTTGCAGTGCAAATTGACCTTGTGGTCCATTGCTTATCCTGCAATGCCACACCATGTTGTTTTTGTTTGGGGGACAAAAGACTGAAGGGTCAAGATCAGAGTTGTAGGGTGGGTGGGGTAAGGCTTCTCAGTGTAATTCTCATAGAACAGCTCTTGATGCCCTTAGAATCAGCAGATGCATCGTGATAGAAAATATTGCGCAACACAAATTCCCTGGCCTTTTTCTCACCAATGCAGCTTTTACTTTTCTTAAAACTTCTTCTGGATAAACCCTCATGATCATCCTTTGAGAAAATCTATCAAGATTACCCCTTGGAATTATAAAAATACAATCTCCGTAATCTGAGCTGATTTCTGCCTTGAATTTAACTGGCCCCTCAGATCCTCTTGGATTCAATTGAAACCCCGTTGTTTCAATTGGGCCTTTTCTTGAAGACACTGCAATAATGAATAATTATCAAGACTAAGAAAAGTGTGTTACTGAGAGAACTTATCTGCAGCCATCCACCGATCACAGAGACAGTTTAAATACATTTTGTTTGGAATAAATCCTTGTATGTTGTTAGGTGTTGTCGAGTTGCTTCTCACTCATAGTGACCTTATTCACAGCAGAATGAAACACTGCCCGGTTCTGCACCCACCTGACATTCGTTGTTAAGCTTGAGTCCATTGTATGGACTTGCATAAACTGGAAACCCTAGTAGCAGTATTTTTTTTTACTTACTAGTAAGTAAACATTATAAACATTATAAAGTTTTTTTAATGTTTTATTGTGAATTATGTGATAGCTTACATGGTAGAACATTAGCTTTACATTCATCCTATTGTATATCGTTTCATTGCCATGGTTACAATCCACTCCATTGCATGCATCAAAGGGTATACCCTGCAAGCCGGTCATCATCACACAGCCCCTCTCCCTCTCTGGGTCTATAGTTCCCTGCTGTGCCATCTCTCCACGTCATTGTCTCTGCCTCCATCTCTGGCATCACTGCTTCTCTGGGTAGGGTCCCGCACTCCACTCTTCTCCCTTAATGGTTCCAGGGACCTCTGCTCCTGGACTGCAAAGTCAACCACTCCTCTCCTTTTGCTACAAAACATCCACCAACCCTCACAGTCATTCCTGATAACAAGTATTCACCATTGTACCACATGGGACCTAGCCCCATCTCCTTTCATCAGCCCCGCCCAGACAGATTGGTTACTACTCAGTGGAGAGTCACACTGTATAAAGTTTTGAAAGTTCTTTTGTAAGAGTAACAGATACTAAATTTAGTATCAAGTGTAAATGTCCTCCCCCAAACTCATCTATCTAAACTTGTTATTAGCTAAATTTATTTTTTATATTAAGCATACAGTTGAATACTGACAGCCGTGTTATATTAAAACACAAAAACTTGGACAGGAAATTTCTATAGTTTCTGAACCAATGTTAAGGACATGTGGAGTAATTGTAAAATAAGGCAAAAGCGTTATTATAGCGAATGTCTAGATTCCACAGGTGCCGCTATTTATTCAGTGAATTATAAGGAAATACCATGTGGCGCTGTGGGCTAATGCGTCAGACTGCAAAGTCATTTGAACTGCAAGGTCGATGGTTCAAGCTTACCAGCTGCTCCTTGGAAACCCTATACAGGGTCGCTCTGGGTCAGAATCATCTCGATGGCACTTGACAACAGCCACCCATTAATTTTTAGAAATCTGAATAATCTCTTGACTTGCATGTTGACTTGTAACTTTCATTCTAATGTGATTTATTTAGTTAAGTGGACTTTAAGAAAAATTGTGCTTTTTAAACTCCCACTGTGGTACATGTTGTTGTTAGGGGCTGTTGAGTTGGATCGAAGTTATAGCCACTCCGTTCACAACAGAAGAAACCACTGCCAAGGTCTGCACTGTCCTTCCAGTCATTGCAATGATTGAACTCTGTTGCGGTCACTGTGTCAGTCCATCTCATTGAGGGTCTCCCTCTTTGTCATTGACCCTCTGTTCTACCACACATGAGTAGTTCCTCCTGATAATGTGTCCACAGTACTTATTTTTGACAGAGATGTTAACAGAATGCCTACCGTCTCAGTTCTATAAGAGACAAACTCATCTGTGATTTTTGTTTTATTGTTAAGGTGACCATGCTCTTCTGTGCGTCAGAATCAACAATATAGCAGCAGCTATTGGAAAAGGAGCTAAACTGTACCTGTTCCCAGCTCAGGAGTGGCACAAGCTGCAGGAAAGCAGTCATGGTTATAGTTGTCATGAAAAATTAGCCAAAGCTCAGTTGGCAAGTGAGTAAATTCCTTTTTCTTTGATTAGATGCGTTTTTTTACTGCTGAACATTGAAATATATGGTATTTCTTTACTGTATTTATTTTCTGTGTTGTGATGTCAGAGCACAGGTCTCATTGTAATGACACTTTGTGTAGTTGGTTTTAGAAGACAGAATTCCTTTTTCCCCCTTATAGTTCAAAATTCTTGAAAAAACAAGTCAGATAATTTATAAGAGGGTATTTTTCTTCATTCAGCCTCTTAATTCAGACACATAATTCATGCAAATGTGGCTGGTATGTTTTGGCCCACTGTTAACACGGAGTAAATGATAACATCTGTGGAGTTCTTATTATCTTTCAAACACTGAACTAAGCATCAAACATTATTATCTCAGTTAATTGAGTAAATTAGCTCAAGTAATGCTGTTTTGCAATATGTTATTGGAACATGAGCCCTAGTCATTTGGTGCAAAATATGTCATTTTGGAATGTATCACCACTATATCATTTATAAATGTCCGGGTTTGCCTCTGGAGAGGCTTAGTCTTTATTATCTTTAGCTAGTTGCTGAATCTTGAACACATCTATTCTCATCAGCATTTTCCTGAGTATGGATCAGCCATTTAGAGCAAGCACAATTTTTTTCTCCCCCCATTCTTTTTATGAAGAACAGGTGTGGCTATTCCCATACTACCTCTTGGAAGTTCATTGGTTGTGGGAAAATTAGGAATTTGAAAGTCCTCTGAGAAAAAAATAGGAATAAATTCTTCTTTCCCTTGTTTCTCATATATCCCTTGTACTGTGCTCTTCATATGGATAAGTCTGTGGTCGTTTAGTCTGGTCAAGTAAAACATTCATTTCTGCACATCATCTTAACCTTAGCAGCTCTTTGGCTTGTTAGACAGCTAGCCAGCATATGTATAGCAGTAGAAGATCCTTGCCATCAACGTGGGGATGTCTAGACTAGGGATACAATGGTACTGACCAAGTCAGGATCATTAGACTCAGACATCAAAGAGACAGTTACTTACCTACCATTACCCTTTCCCACCCTGAACTTGAGGACTTAATGCAAATACTCATTATTAGCTAGCTTTTCGTTTCTATATCAGTTTGCTCACTTATAAAGTTTTGTTTCACATATAAAAATTTTGACCTACAGTTCCCACCCAGTTCTTGTAATGTCCAAACCTGAGCTCGCCATCCTTCTTATGCAAACCTGACGCTCTTCTAGTGTTCCTTGTTTCAGAAACTGGCACCACCATCCAGCCATTAAACAAGCTTGAAAACAAGGAGTCTCTTACCCTTCACTCCCTTCCAATCTGTCAGTAAGTCCTGAGCTTTTCTTCTAAACATCTCTTGAATTTATCATCTTCTCCATCGATGCCATCACCGTGTTAATCCAGGCTACCATAATATGTTGCCTAAACTATTACGATAGCTATGTCACGTGATTCACCTCTAACCAGAGTGATCTTTCTGAAAAACGGATCTGACTGTATCACTTTGACTTCCTTGTCAAACCCTGCAAATATTTTAGTGGATTCTCACTGCTCTTCTGATAAAAGACTGACCTCCTTAACCTGATTCTGAAAACCAGCATAGTCTAGCCTAGCCTACCCTTCAAGCCTGATCTTAGAGCATCGCACTTGTCACTTCATTTTATTTGGAATGCTCGTTTTCCTGCAGGCGTTTGCACAGCCTTTTCTTCTGACTGTTCTTCCATCACCTCTTCTGTTCCTCCTTGGCCTCCTCTAATGTAACACCTGAGTTTTGAAGCCTCTTATTCTCCCACACAGGGAGCCCTGGTAGCGTAGTGGGTTACATGCTGGACTGCTAACCACAAGGTCAGCAGTTCGAATCTACTCGTCACTCCATGGAAGAAAGATGAGGCTTTCTGCTCCCATAAAGATTTATAGACTCAGAAACCCTATGCAGGGTCACTATGAGTCAGAACCAACTCCATGGCACATGGCACACCACCGCCATTCTTCTGCACAACATTGATTGTACTTGCCACCACCACCACCACCACGTATATAGAGAGACTGTGGTGGTGTGTGCTGTTGGATTGGTTCCTACTCATAGTGATGCTGTATAGTGCTTCTGAACTTTCTGAGAGCTGCAAGCCTTATCTTTCTCCCTATGGAGTGACTGGTGGATTTGAAGTGCAGACCTTGTGTTTAGCAGCCCATCAAGTAGGCCACTACTCCAGGACTACAGAGAAATAAATACAGAGCCTGGTTTTTATCTGAACCACAGAGAAGTTGGGTTAGGTTTCTTAGAGTCCCAAATTAAGTGGTTCTACAGCCTTGGAAACCCTGCACAGGGTCGCTATGAGTCGAAACCAATTCCACGGCACATAACAACAACAACAATATGGATTCTAAAGGAGCTCTGGTAGCGTAGTGGTTACGAATCGGGCTGCTAATCTCATGGTCAGCAGTTCAAAACTACCAGCTGTTCTGCGGGAGAAAGATGAGGCTTTCTGCTCCCGTAAAGATTTACAGCCTCGGAAACCCTATTCAGGGTCTCTATGAGTCGGAACCGACTCCATGGCACCTCACCACCACCATCTGGGTTGGAACCTACTTGCCAGCACTGAACAACAGCAATTGTATCTCTAGGGTGGATTGTAAAAGTTAGTTGAAAAATTCCATGATCATTTGATTCCATGTTTTCACAAACTTTTTGAAGCTCCCTCATAGTTTATGTAGTGGTGGTTATGTTCCGACATGTGGTGATTCTGACTCCTAGAGATCCTGTACAGGGTTTCCAAGCCTGTAAATATTTACAGGAGAAGAAAGCCTCATCTTCCTCCTGAGGAACAGCTGGTCATTTCGAACTGCTGACCCTGAGGTTAGCAGCCTGATTCATAACCACTACGCTACCAGAGCTCCTTTCATAGTTCATACATAGGACTCATAACTTACAAAATTTGTTGGTCTTGTTTCTGTTTATATTTTCCCTTCCTGTTTTCTACCCTATAGAGTAGTGCACAGGTGTTCTTTGGAATTATAGAACACATGGTCTGGGAAAGGGAAATTTTAGAAGAACAAGCAGTAATAGGGGCCATAGATTAATTATATATATCACCAACAACAAAATCCAAGTCTTAAGACTATTTTCTTTTTCTAGCTTTCCTATAGTAGTTGTCATGTTTGTAGTATGTGTATAGATACATTGAAACAAAAAGCATATCCTTCAGTTCTTTACAGTGTAATAGTATTGTGTAGTGGTTGTGTGCTGTTGAGTCGATTCCAACTCATAGCGATCCTGTATAGGGTTTCAGAGGCTATAAATCTTTTTAGGAGCAAAAAACCTCACCTTTCTCCTGTGGAGCAGCAGGTGGATTTGAACTACTGATCTTGTGGTTAGTTGCTCATATGTACTCTCAAGTAATTCGTGGTAGGAAGTGCATTTTCCTGGCCATTAATGAGGCTTTTCAGAATTAACAGACTTTCACCTACTTGATAATGAACTCATTAACTCTATCTGTGGTTCAAGCTCACCAGCTGCTCTTGGAAACTCTATACAGGGTCTCTATGAGTCGGAACCGATTCGACTGCACTTAACAATAACAACAACAACCATTGTAAAACATTTCTGCTGTTATGATCTTTGAAAAGACTGGTAGATTTGAAAATCCTGTAATGGCCAATGTTACTTGACCTACCCTTTCAATTAATGTTTGAGAAGTTAATTTTCAGTCTTCCTTTGTCATCTTTCAGTGGTACTATAAAACCTCAGATTGTGAATATTCTGAAAAATACTTTGCAGGTTTTTAAAACAAACAAATAATATATTTTTAAAAACTGCAAATGATGAGTTTGTAAATTTCCATTTCAAAAAAATTTACCAAGGAAATTCAAAGTAATTTGCTGTTGTATTTAGAAAGAGCTAAATATACTTTCTGTATTGTTCTTTTATACTTTGTATATGTTTTATTTAGTACATTGCATGTTTGATAAGTCACTTAAAGGTTTTAGTATTTGTGTGTGTGTTTTGGTTAGCAGTATTCATTTTCTTTTATAATATGATTGAGCAATTACCATTCAACACCATTCTGTTCAGTTCAAAAGTTTTGTTAATATTTGAGGTACTGATTACTCCAACATAGAATATACATGCTATGCTGTAGTCTTTGTTTCAAAACAAGGATCACACAGTTTTGTCCAAAGGCTTGTTGCTCAAGCTTGCTAAAAAGGCAATAAGACAAAATCCAAACACCACCATCTCTTTTATTCAGCACATTTTTGTCTCTGTTTGATACAAAGCCCTAAAATTTAAAATGAAACATCAAAAAGTGTATTGGTAGAAATATAGGAATGACTTTTTTTTATATCATTGTATCTAAAGGGAAAAGTACAAATGATAAAAACACAGCAGAATTTTAAATAATGAGGTCCAGATTATATAATTTCAATAGCCACATTGTCGAAGTGGTATTTGAGTCTTTTTCTTTTTTCCTTTAGTCGTATGTTCACTTCTTTTTAAAGGTCTTTAAACACTGAACAGAAATTAGAGTCTTTGCTAAAATTTTAGGAAAAGAAGCTGTACAATAAGAAAACAGTATAAATGTCCTTTAAAATAGCCCAAACAACTGTCCATATTAACTGCTGCTGAATGGTACTGCCATTTGTCAAGTCCAGATCCTCAACTTTGAATCGTCTTTATCTTAATCATAAAGACAGCCTTCCCCCACTTTTAATTATTAGCATTTTCAATTATGTACAAAAGTTGAAAGTGTAGTGCAATAACATCTGTCTATTCTCTGCTTAGATTTAAGAATTGTTCATTTATTACATGTGTTTTGTATTTGTATGTATGTGATATTTATTATGACATTCCTAAATATTTCAGCATGCATGTCTTAATCACACTAACATCATTACATCCAAGAAAGTGACTAGGGAATCCCTTAGTGACTCAAACAGATAAGCACTTAGCTACTAGCTCCAAAAGGTTGGCAGTTCAAACCTTCCCAGAGGCTTCTCAGGAGACTGGCCTGTTGATCTGACTAGAAAGCTCACAACCTTGGCAACACTCTGGGTCAATTCTACTCTGATACCCGTGGGGTTACCACTTGATGGCAACTCACAACAAAACTTTGTTTAGAATAGCCTCTTTACATCAGACTTTTGTCGACCGTTTCATTTGCTCCTCACAAGAATCTGAGCTAGGTATGGTAGGTCTCTCCATTTTGCTATTCACGAAACACATTAACAGAGGTTAAGCAATTTATTGCTGAAACACAAGGTTAGTAAGAAGTAGGACCAAGGCACGCTCTGAGCCTACTGCTCTTCATAATCTATGGTGTTTGGGCTACTGCTGTCCTGCCGCCCTGTCTGTAATAGTCTTAGTGAGTGCCTTTGATGTCGGAATTATATGCTAGATTGGAAATGGAGTTTAAACGTCACTCATGTTTCTCAAAGGGAGTGCTATCAGCGTCTTAGGTGGAACATTTCTTTGTTGTGTAAGACTTTAATTGTGCTGCATGAAGTTTACCACAGCCCCCTCAAAATATTTTCCCAGCTCTGGTGCTGAGATAACTCCCCACACATTTCTAAATGCCCTGTAGAGTAGCAGAATTAACCTGGATTGAGAACTACTTATTAACATAATAATCTGTTTTGAAGAAAAGGAGAATGGAAATTTATTTATTAATAAATAATAATGCTAAGTGCTTCAATTTAGACCTTGCACCAGCTCTTTGCTGTAGGGATTGTCTTCATTTACAGATGGAGAAACAGAGCGTCAGTGTACATGTTACTTGTCAAAAGTCGTGTAGCAGGTAAGTATTGGAGCCAGGATTCAACACCCATCCAGAGGTGTCTGACCCACTGTAGCACACTATCTCCTATGGACCTGACTCAATGCAGTCATCGTTACATGTCTGTAATTTCTATATTTTTACTCTCAGAACCTTTCTTAAGACTAATTGAAAAGAGATATTTGGAAGATCTATTGAAAGTATTTGTTAGCCATAGATTTTGGGTATGTTGTTATGATTTCTTAGTGACCCATTTTAAGTTTAACTCAAATAAGGAATTTCCAAAAATGTTACTAAACCCATGTGGAAACTTGGAAGATATTTAAAATTTTAAACTAAAAATGTAATGAAATCGTGTTTCTCGTTTTGTGTTTCATACCACCTCTCTAGTGAGCCTTTTGGATAAAATGTATCATTCTTATCTGCTTTATGATTTGCCAGGCTTATCCCAGTGCTCTTCTGGGATTTCAAAGGCAGTAAAACCGAAATAAAAGGACTCTAATCTCAAATTGATTAGATGGCTAAAACAATGAATACATTTGAGAGTTTTGCTTTGAAAGCGCTATTTTCTTTCTCTTTAAAGTGACTGTGAATCAGACTGAACATAATCTGACAGTGTCTCAGGTTCCGTATCCACAAACATGGCACGTGTTTTACGCAGACAAGCATACATGCAGCGATGATTCTGAGAAACCTCAGGTGGAAGATATCCAATTCGAAATGATGTTGTTAAATCCAGATGCTGAAGGGAATCCATTTGACCATTTTAGTGCTGGAGAATCTGGTAAGAATAAATTTTTGTTTGTTTAAAAATATATATGTTCTAAAAACTGGAAAAGATTTATTAATAAATAGCTTCATGCTGCCATTTTAAAATTTAAAAATTAAAAACATTCTTTGTTCCAACAGTAAGCAAATGGTTAAATGACACTTCTTGTAACATTTTAACAGCTGTAGTCTTTTATAGCACTTGAATAGCTATAATGTTAAGAGAAAAGCAGAACACAAATTTTATACTACACAATTTTCATGTGTATTAAAACATGCAGAAAAGAAACCAGAGAAGTACAACAAAATATTCACTGGTTGTTTTCATATTTGGTTGGTAGAATTATAGGTGATTATTAATTTCCTGTATTCCTTCTACATCTGTTTATTATCTTTCTGATAAATACTTAAAAGAAAGTAAAACTGAGCAATCTAAATTGGTAATTCAATGATTAAGTGAGATTGCAAACTTAGTTATTTTGTATGACTGTCCTTTCACTGGATTGTTTGAGTAGAATATCTTTGAGTTTATAACCATTTTAGGAAGGATTAAAGTCTAATGCTTTCAGGAATCAAATTTATGGTCATAAAATAGTTCATAAAAATTTAGGTTGACTATGGACTGTGTACTGCCCTGCTGAAATGAGATTCCAGCCCAAACAGTAGTGAACCCCTTCTTGTGATTTTGACAGACGTGCTATAAAGTCTCATCGCAGATTTGCAAATTAACATGTCAGAATGAGAACTGAGATCATAGGCCACCTGTCAAAGAAAGGGGTAGGGCGTACGCCTTCATGAGTTCATGACCCATTTGGAAGAGTCAATCTGCTTGGAGAAGATTTCATTTCCATAGTATCTCGTTGGCCATAAAGAAGAATGAGTGCAGGAGGGTGGGAGTATTTAGTTCAAAGTATAGATTGTGATAACTAGAAAAGTTACTTAGGAAGCGTGTGTTGCAAGAAATATATGAAAGATTAAATTTTCTTACATGTATTGTGCTAAGCATTTTAACACTTAATTTTAAAAATTCTTTCTTTGAAAGAAATGACCTATTTGTAAGTATGTCTAGTTTTTTTTTTTTTCTTTATTTCTTTAAAGTTTTCATTGTGAATTGAGTTATAGTTTACATGGGAGAACATTGGTTTTACACTCACCGTTTCTTGCAATGATTACAATCTGTCTAGTTTTTTAATACAAATGATGAACTTAAAAGTCTAAAGTTTACTTACTGATACTTTGAATCAGTGTGAATCATTATTGAAAGTTAACTCAATCCTACCATTCTTGTTTTCTTGTTGAAAGATGTTGACATGTTTATTTTCCATATTTTGGAAAGGCATTAGTGAAATTCAGATCCATAGCATTGGATGGATGGTTAAACAAAACTGCTTTTAAGGTCCCTTTTAACTATAAGATTTCATGAGTTTTCATAACATTTATTTTTAGAACTGGTAAGGGTTCAATAGGAAGTAATGGTCTACTACATTCGCTGGTGTATGTATACCCTGCATTCTCTAGTCCTGGTGGTGGTGTGCTGTGGAGTTGGTTCCATCTCCTAGTGACCCTGTATAAGGTTTGGGAGGCTGTAAATCTTTATAGGAGCAGAAAGCCTCATCTTTCTCCTGCAGAGCTGCTGGGCGATTTGAAGCCGATTCTTTAGGCTCCACAGTAGCCAGGCTGATCCAATGCTTGGCTCAGATTTCTTCTGACCTACCGCTTCCTGTGATTGACTGTGATTTGGTGCACACATTATGTCTAAAAAGCTGGTTTTCTTATACTAAATGAAGAATGTTACATTGATCATGCCATCAGAAATACTAAACAAGGGGCCAGAACCTCACTATAGTATGTTTACTCCCCACTACATATAAATACTAATATTAAAAAAATAATAATCCAAACTGAGTCAGCAGGGATTGATTAATAAAAAGTCCCCAAAGTATTCAAAATATCTGACCTTGTTAATATCTGTCACTTAATAAGAGAACATTATTTTATTGATTCAAATGCCTAAAAACTTTCATGAGTAATGCAACATGGAGTCTAAATTGGTGGTTCTCAACCCATCATTGTGCGTACATCTGGAGAATGTCTAAAAATAAACAGATGCTCACCCCCAGACTCTGGTTGGGTTTGGACTAGAAGCCAGGCATTGGTAGGGTAGTCAAAAGTCATTCTTTGAAGGTGATTCTAATGTTTGGAACTACCTTTTATAAAGTCTATTTCACATTGTTTCAGCAATTTGTTGGCTTTAAAATAAAGCTTTAAGAGGAATTCTGTCTATTATATAACTTCAGGTATGAAATGTATTTCTAAGGAGCAGATGCCAACTAGTTCTTTTTAGGAACTTTTGCCTAATTATCAATTCTGAATAGAGGAAATTGGTTTGTTGTTGTTAAGTGCTGTTGAGTTAGTTCCTACTCACAGTGATCCTGTGTATAACAGAATGAATTACTGCTCCGTCCTTACAATCCTTGCCATGTTTGAGCCCAGGTGTTGCATTCACTGTGTCACTCTATCATTGAGGGTCTGCCTCTTTTCATGGACCCTCTACTTTACTAAGCATCATGTTCTTTTCCAGGGACTGGTCCCTCCTGATAACATATCCAAAGAACATGTGACAAAGCCTTTTCATCCTGACTTCTAAATAGCATTCTGGCTGTACTTATTCCAGGACAGATTTGTTCATTCTTGTAGTCCTGTTATATTCAATATTCTTTGCCAACAGTATAATCAAATGCATCAATTCTTCTTTGTTCTTCCTTATTTATTGTCCAGCTTTTGTATGCATATAAGGTGATTGAAAATACCATGTCTGGGTCAGGCACCCCGTAGTCCTCAAAGTGAATTCTTTTCTTTTTAATACTTTAAAAAGGTCTTTTGCAGTAGATTTTCCCAAAGCAATAGGTTGTTTGATTTCTGACTGCTGCTTCCCTGGACACTGATTGGAGATCCCAGTAAAATGCAATCCCTGACAACGTCATTGTCTTCTGTTTAGCATGTTGCTTACTGGTCCAGTTGTCAGGATTTTTGGTTTCTTTACGTGGAGGTCTAATCCACACTGAAGACTGTAGTCTTTGATCTTTGTCATGGAAACTGGTTTGCTGTGCTTTTTTTTTTTTTTTTTTTTTTTTAATAAAAAAACCTCAGACTTGACTATCATATTTTAGTAAGGGATTTCAGTGACAATAATCAGGTGCAAACATAGCTGCAGTTAATGTTAAAAGTTATTCTTGTTCAGTTTTAGAATTTGTTTTCTCTCAAACTAATTATGTGTTTTCTATCTGCCAAACTTTGGCTAATTCTCTGTTTTATAGACTAGTGGTCTAAAGTTAAAAAAACATGTATACACACAGAGAAAACAAAACTTTGTCAATTGACAAAGTACTAAATAGGAATGGAATGCTCAGAGTAGAACAACAACAACAACAAAAAACCATTTCTTAAAATGGGCTCCTCATTAACTGTATTTATGTTCTTGTTAGAGACCAGAATCCCCAGAATCCTGAGCGTTAAAGCATTGTTAGCTAACAGCACATAAACTGCTTCTCATTGGAATACTTACTGTAGGCTCTGCTACACTTGCCCAAGGTTCCAGTTGTATTCATTCTTCTCTCATCTCTTTGCTCTCATTCATATCCCCAAAGGTAATAGGTTGGGTCTGCCATTGAATTCTGGTAAAATGTGTCTTTACCCACTGGATTTCGTTTGTTTCAAAGTAACAGAAACCTTAAATAGTAAAACAGTAAGGCAGTGAGTCATCTCACGTAACAGGAAGTCTCAGGGTTTCCTCAGCGTGGTTTTTTCAGTTTCTTTGCTATCCTCTGACTGACACTTTGCTCTAGACTTGTTTTCTTCAGCTCAAAATTTACCTGCAGCAGTTTGGGGCATAACATTTAGATCTTGACAACTTCCATTGGAAGAGAAAAGAGAGTTTTTCACTTGAATCTTTTTTAAAAGGAAGGAAACCTTTCCTCCATGCCATTGTCAAGAACTAGGTCACTTTGCTACAAGAGATCCTAAGATTATTTATAGGTTAATGTGTCCAAAGGAAGACAGTCACCTTTAATCCATCAACCATTCTGTCAAAATAAATGGTTAGGTTTGCCTCTTAGCGGCAGGGATGTTGGAATTCCTCTGATTGGTTAGGCGAATTAGGATTTATCTTGAAGTATAGGAGTGTAGATGGACATGGCGGCTGGAGATAGCAGGCTTAGTAGATTCCCAAGAGTGTCTGTTGCAGGTACTGCCCCATGAACATAGTTCATCTATTTTCTCTTCTCTTCTTTCTCACCTCATCATTTAGATGGGCCCAAATTCATGAGTTGGAATCCTACTGGCTGTAGGGTTTTTGTTTCTTTTGGTGTTTTTTGTTTTTTTTTTTTTAAGTTTGCAACACTCTTCCCATTAAGCTTAAATGTTTACCACTTGTTTCATACTCATTTAAGAGTATTCTTCTTCTCAGCAGCATGTGAGATAAACAGATTTTTTTTTTTTTTTAAAGTATGTACAATTTGACATTTCATATCTGTCTGTCTGTTTTGGAGTTCCTGGGTGGTGCAGATGATTAAGAAATAGGCTACTAATCAAATGGTTGACAATTGAAACCCACCTCCTAGAAGTGATGCTAAAGAAAGGCCTGGTGGTCTTCTAAACAGTGACAGCCGTGAACCCCCTGTGGTGAGCAGGTCTGCTCGAGAACATGGACCCCCTGTGGTGAGCAGGTCTGCTCTGGAACACATGAGGTTGCCAGGATTCGGAATTGAGTTTTTCTTTTCTTAAAATCATCTGGTTTACTTTTTTCTTTAATCTCATCTATTTTATAGTTAGATTTTATTTTCAAAGTGAACATAGATTGCTTTCTTCTTGTGAAGGATAAACAAAAATTAAATTAATAGCTGAAGAGAAAAAACAGGGAAACTTTTTCCTAGAGGTGATGTATTTAAAAAACCATCATTTTATCTTTAAAGTATCTTATAGACAGGGTCAAGGTAAGAATAACTTACACATAATTCCGTGAACAAAGTGTAGTATAGATATACAAGTCCAGTTCATTTTATATATTGATATCTCAGCAAATTTATTTTATTTGTTAGTTATATTTTAGCATTTTCTGAAAGTTACATTAATCTTGAATAACACTAAAACTTTTTTTCCGCCCCTCACTGGTGACTTATATCTTATTTTTACAAGTCTTTTCTGTCTATGTTATTCAGGTTCCTCAGTAAATTGTCTGAGGGTTTATTTTTCATAATGGATTTATAACTCAATGGAACCAGTATTTTATCCTTTAATGGATACTCTATTAGGATTATGAATAAATAAAACTTTTAATAGTTAATTTTTTAATACTGAGAAGGAAAAATATAAAGTCAGATTCAAAGCAGGATAGCGTAAAGAATTCTACTGGCTTGTTGTTGTTATGTGCCATGGAGTCGGTTCCGACTCCTAGTGACCCTGTACAGAGTTTCTGAGGCTGTAAATCTTTATGGGAGCAGAAAGCCTCATATTTCTCCCGTGAAAGAGCTGGTAGTTTGAAACTGCTGAGCTTGAGGTTAGCAGCCCAATTCGTAACCACTACGCTACCAGAGCTCCTTCTAATATGTTGGACATTTCTGTTTTCTGGTTTTGTTCTACTACTACAATAATCCTGGGCTTCTGGTCCCATTGTTTCTAAAGTTGGAAAACTTTTTTTCCTATGTAAGGAGTTTAAAAAGAAACTATGCCCCTTGGTTGATTTTCTAAAGTCTCAACATGCCTTGTATCTGGATTACGAGAGTGGAGTGTCAAATAGTATATATGTGGAGCAGGAGAGACACCCAGTGGCTGAAATACTTCTTGCCTCTTTTTTTCTTTTTAAAATTTGTTCTCATCAAAAAAACATGACTGAGATTCAACTGTTTATTGACTAGTTTTCTTCTAATTGCTTTTCCAAAATTATTACCCACACATTAGAACTATTCCCTTCTCTCCCGTTGGCATTTACCCACAATGGGAAACCAGAGCCGGCTCAGTGTTCATATTTGGAGTGGGAGGGGTTGCAGTTGATACTGTCATCTGAAGACTCAGTTGATGCCATTGAGTTCATTCTGACGTATGGCAACCCTGTGGGACACGGTCCAGCTGCCCCATAGGGCCTCCCAGACTGCAGTGTGTATGGAGGGGCCTGAGTGGGTCAGTGGGTAAATGGTTGAGTGCTAACCAAAAGGTCATCAGCTCGAACACCCAGACACTCCGGGGACTCTGACAAGTTTGCTTCTGTAAAGATTTACATCCGTGGAAACCCTATGGGGCTGTTTTACCTCCTCTGCAGGCTCTCTGTAAGTTAAAATTGACTCGATGGCAGTTGGTTTGCAATCCTTACAGAAGCAGACTACTGCCACAGCTTTCTCCCATGGAGTGTCTGGTGATTGCGAACTGCCGGCCTTTCGGTTAACATGGAGTATTTTAACCACCACGCTAGCAAGTCTCTGATTCGAATGTTGTTGTCGAGTACTGTTGAGTTCATTCTGCCTCATATCGATCCTGTGCAGGGTTTCCAGTGCTTATCCTACAGCGCTACATTATTATATGTTAGACAGTAACCTCAAAGCTAGCCTTTTGGCTTATTATAAAAAGTCCTGCAGTATCTGAAAAATAGTCAGAGTGCCTCAGAACACGATTGTTTATCATGATGCTACATAAAGACTGTAAGGAGCTCTGGTAGCATAGTGGTTAAGAATCGGGCTGCAAACCACAAGGTCAGCAGTTCATAACTACCAGCTGTTCCGTGGGAGAAAGGTGAAGCTTTTGCTCCCGTAAACATTCACAGCCTTGGAAACACTCTACAGGGTCGCCATGAGTCAGAACCAACTCCATGGCACATCAGCACCAACACCACCATAGGGGTCTACTCAGAACATTTTTACCTCTGAACATGGCAAATCCTCTGAAGCTTGATTCTAATGGAAAGTTATGAGAGGTTCAGAGCTGGTTTTTCACACTTCAGAATTATCTGCAGGGCTTGTAAAAACACAGATTGCCTGGCCAAGGCCTGCTCTCCAAATATCTAATTAGTGGGGATGGGAGAAAGGCAACAAGTTACATTTCTAGCAAGTTCCATAGTGATGCTGCTGGTCTGGGGACACCACTTAGAGAAGCATTGTCAAGGGATAGGAAAGGCTTGCTAACTGACTAAATCTGTTTCTCAACTTCTTACAAAAGAAATTCACTTTGAGGATCAAAGGTCTTTCTAACTGAATTCTGCAATCATTGCTCTCATTTACTGGTTTTGAACAAGACTGATTTTTATGGTGAATTTTGGACTGGTTTCTTGACTTTTTCCCAGATTGAGTTTAAGCATTATGGTTTAATTTACTTTCTTATGGTACCAACTTAGTCCAAAGTAGAAATTTATTTTTGTTTAGTTGTTTGTTTTTTTTTTACTTTTGTTACAAAAGTGAATGTTTTGACTAATTTTTGAAAAGTTAGAATTACATTGACAGGAAGATTTTGAAACAACCCAACACTGGAAGTGAAATAAGCTCCCTCTCGTCTCTTCCCAGGGTTACATGAGTTCTTTTTCCTCGTGGTCCTGGTGTACTTTGTGGTTGCGTGCATTTATGCTCAATCATTATGGCAGGCTGTGAAGAAAGGCGGACCCATGCACATGATTTTGAAGGTTCTGACGACTGCATTGCTGTTACAAGCTAGTTCCGCTTTAGCTAATTACATTCATTTCTCCAGGTAACTCAAAACCACTAAAACTGTGTTCATCATTAAGTCTAATTAATCCTAATTAGTCCACCAGCATTCTGCGTGCTTTGATTATAAACAATTCTTCCACGTTGGTAATTTACATTAATACTCTCCTCTTCAATTCCCCAGTTACTCCAGAGATGGAATAGGGGTACCTTTCATGGGAAGTTTGGCAGAATGTGAGTATCTTTCTGAACCTTTTTTTTTCCTAAAATAAACTGTCTATTTTGTTTCAACAATACATACTACTTGTTGTAATAGGGCTAGCTAGTCAAGGCTACACTTGACTAGAAGTCACTCTTACTGAGAACAGAGTTACAGAATTCGTTGCCATATGTCCATTAAGCTTTATCTTCTGGACAGTTGTTAATAAGTACAGCATTTTAGTGCTTTTGCTACTGCTGCTGCTGTTGAGTCGATTCCGACTCATAACAACTCTCTGTAGGGTTTCAAGGCTGTAAATCTTTATGGGAGCAAAGAGCCTCATCTGTCTCCCATGGAGCAGTTGGTGGATTTGACCTACTGACCTTGCAGTTAGCAGCCCAACACATAACCCACTATGCTACCAGAGCTCCTTTTTTGAGCGTTTTTAAAGCATATTTATATACTTGGATTTTATCCTTAGGTATGTTTATCCTTGTTATGCAGATAAAGACATTTTACAAATGTTAGTGTGCTGTTCCGTGGTAGACACAGCCTGAGGTATTGAGTCTGCTAGAGCCCAGACTCAAGCCCAGTTTTCACCCCAAGCTGAACTTGTCCCCCATCCCCACCCCCATATCACCTCTGTTTCTGTTATACTGACATTTTTTTCTTTGTTTCCCACCTATGATTAACCTGAACTCATAGCTTTGTTCTTTATTTATAAAAGGAGCTCGTGTGAAGTGATTCTTAATATTAATTACTTAAAAGTTCCTAAAATCATGACTTGAAATTTAGAGAACTCCAGAGGTACATCAGCCCTATGCCATTCTTTGTCCTGGAAAACTAGTAAGATTTGCTCTTAAAAAGCAGGTCTTGGCCAATGATATAGCTATGGTCATCAAAGGAACTTGATAATAGTACAATGACAGACCTATAGATCAGTGGAACTGAATTGAGAGCCCAGATGTAAATCCTTTCATCTGTGGACAGCTGATCTTTAACAAAAGGCAGAAATCGGAGAGATAGTCACTTTAACAAATGGTGCTGGTAAAATTGAATATCCATTTGCAGAACAATTCAACAAGACCCATAACTTATAACATACACAAAAACTAACTCAAGATGAGTCCAAGACTTCAGTGTAAAATTAAAACTATTACGATCATCAAAGGAAAAGTAAGGGCAAGCTTAAGGGCCATAATTTATAGCTTAAGAAGACTACCAAACCTAACAATGCTTCAGAAGTAGAGGAAAAGCTAGATGACTGGTGCCTTTAAAAGTCAAACACGTGCATCAAAAACCCTTTTCAAGAGAGCAAAATGAATGCGTAGACTGGAAAAAGCTTGTTTTAGCAATAACATATCAGACAAGTGACTGATCTCAAAAGTTTATTAAAAACTTTGAAACATGAACAACAGAAAGACAGAGGACTTGCACAGACACGTCATCACAGAAGACATACATGCAGGTGACCAAAAAACACATGAAAAAAATGCTCACAATCATTAGCCATTGCTGTTGTTAGGTCTTCAAATCGGTTCTGACTCATAGCGACCCTGTATAGGATTTCCAAGGAGTAACTGGTGGGTTTGAATCACCAAACTTGAGGTTAGCAGTCCAGTGCTTATCTTGTAGTATCAGATTCCTTATTAGCCATTGTTGTTGTTGTTAAGTACCACCGAGTCAGTTCTGACTTACAGCGAACCTGTACAGGGTTTCTGGTGAGTTTGAATCACTGACCATGTAGTTCAAACTGACCTTATAGTCCGGTACTTATCCTTCAGCACTACATCAGGACTCTATTAACTATTAGAGAGATGAATAGAGAGGCCAATCAAAGCAGCAATGAGATAGCATCTCACCCTAGCAATAACAACAAAGTTCAGAAAACCAGAAAAAATGCTGGCTGGCTTGTGGAAAAATTGAAAGTCTCTTGCATTGCTGGTGGTGGTGTTGTTAAGTGTCAAGTCATTTTTGACTCTTAGCAACCCTGTATAGATAGGGTTCCCGAGGAGTGACTGGTGAGCTTGAACCACTGACCTTGCGGTTCACACTGACCTTGCAGTCCAGAGCGTTAACCCACAGTGCCACATCAGGACTCCGAAACTGCTGGTAGGACTATAAAATTATAATACAACCACTGTGGAAAATGGTACGATAAAGTTCAAAAAACCAGGAAACAAAAAAATGCTGGCAAGGATATGGAGAAATGGAAGTCTCTTACATTGCTAGTAGGACTGTAAAATTATACAATCACTATGAAAAATGTATGGTACTTCCTTAAAAAGTTGGAAATAGAAATGCTATATGATCCAGTGGATTCCTGGATCACTGTAGCATTGTAGGATAAGCATTGGGCTGCTAACCACAAAGTCTGTATTTCAAACTCACCAGCTGTTCCTCAGAAACCTTATACAGGGTCGCTATGAGTTGGAATCAACTCAATGACACTTTACGACAACAGCACATGATCCAGTAATCCCACTATTAGGCATATAACCTAGAGATTTAAGAGCTGTGATGTGAACAGATATATGCACACCCATGTTCATAGCAGAATTATTCATAATAGCAAAAATATGGAGACAACCTAAGTGCTCGACACCACATGAATGGATAAGTAGACTGTGGTGCATACATATAATGGCATATTACACAATGTTAAAAGGATAGTGAAGAGTCTGCAAACCACCTCATAAGAATGATGAACCTAGATGATATTGTGCTGAGTGAAACAAGTCCATTGCAGCAGGACAGATAGTATATAAGACCACTATTTTAAAGGTTTACACATAGAAACATTATTTGATAGTTATCAGGAGTGGGAGGGGCAGGGAAGGTAAAATCACTAACTAGAGAGTTGTTGCTAGGTACTGTAAAGTCCGTTGTGACTCATAGCGACCCCCCTGTAAAGGGTTTCTGAGGAGAATCTGGTGAATTTGAACCACTTATCCTGTGGTTCAAACCGACCTTGCAGTCCAGCGTATTATCCCCCAGCGCCACACCAGAGAGCAGACACATAGTAATTTGGGTGAAGGCGTAGGCAGTATACAATAAGCACAACATGACTAATTCAAAGGAAGCCACTGGGAGGTGCACTAAGAGTGAAAAACCAGAAAAGTAAATATTATTTTATACACAATCCTCCAGTCATAGAATAAAAACAGCATCTACAAGTAGATACATAGACATACAAGCTGAACTAATGTGGAAAGGCAATTGGGCATACAGCCACGAGTATAGATAGGTTTATTGTCGTGTGCTGCTGAGTCGGTTCCAACTCATAGTGACCTTGAATAGGGCTTCCGAGACTGTAAATATTTATAGGAGCAGTAATCCTCATCATTCTCCCAGAGTTGCTGATGAGCTCGAACCACCAACTTTATGCTTTGTAGCCCAGTGCTTCTACAGAGTCACTGTACTCCCATATATAGGCTTAGCAGACATATGCCTACATAAGTATTTGTGTGTGTTGTAAATGTATCCAAGGATATTATGGAGCAGACAGAGGGCAGAGTTCTGAAAATGTATTATTCATAACCAACACTTTGAAGGAATGACTGTAAGGCACAAGGAAACAGTTGTTCCAAAGAGTGAATGGACCACAGAAGGACAACCTCCACTTATCCTGAGGCCAGAGAATTAGATGGTGTCCAGTTACCACTTCCTACCACTCTGATCAAGATCACAGTAGAAGGCCCTGAATGGACAGTGAGGAAAAAGTAATAGAACAAAACTCAAAATCATAAAAACGATGAGACATACTGTCTGGTAGAGACTGGTGGTACCTTGGAGACTGTGGCCCTTAGACAACCTCAGATCTCCACCCCTGGGGATCAGTATCAGTGAAGCAGTGATAACAGCAAGGGGTAAGAACTCCTTAGACTAATCCAGTCTACTAGATCAAAAGGGCAGCATTTACCCAGGGATAAAGCTACCAAGGCAAGAAGGGTTTGCACAGTGGAGGAAGGGAAATGGGGAATTTAGGGAGGAGGTGCGAAGAGTACTGCTAAACTGCAACCATGGTAACGAAATACAATGTGTAATCCTCCTAGAGTTTACTTCTTACATTCCTACTTTCTCTCCTAGTTTCTTTATTCAGTAATACAGAGTGTCATACGATGACTCTGTAATCATCTCGGGACCCATTCGTCCTTTGACTTACAAAGATTCTCAAACTTCAAGTGCTTTTGCTTTCCAGTGTGAAGAGGACATGTACTGTTCACCTCCTAGGCATGAGCAGTAGTATCAGAGCCCAGTTTCTTTATCTCTTTTTCTCTTAAATGACATTTGGATATTTACTAGAATCAGAGAATTTTAGAGCTAGACAAAAATCTTTGGAATAATTTAGCTTATGCATGTTTAGATGAAGAAATTGAGGTCCAAAGACACAAAACACACAGAAATCAACTACTGGCAAAGCTAGTATTGTAATTAAAGACTAGAATTTTTGTCCACGTCTGCTGTGTACCCAGAAATGTTTTAGGCTGTGTAGGTACAATGGTTAATGCACTTGACTGCTACTTGAAAAGTTCTCAGAGGTTCCTTGGAAGACAGGCCTGGCCGTTTGCTTCTAAAAAAACAGATATTGAAAACCCTGGAGTTCTACGCAGACACGTGAGTGAGGTCAGCATGAGTCAGACTAAAGTCAACGGCAGTATCTTCGTTGAAGGTTAAAAAACAAAAGTTTAAAAAACAACAGTAAAACTTGTAATAAATTGATGTTGCTCATTTATAGTAGTTCTGACAAAGGATTTGATTTGTTAGTAGACTAACATTTTAAGCCTGAATGGGATTTTTGTGTGTTTGTTTTTTTTTTTTGACAACATGTAAGCAGTGTTCTACCTATGTTATAGAATATATCCGTGTGTGTATTATTTAGTACATAAAGAAATGACCCAGGAAATTAGGGTTTTCCCAGGTAGTTTGTTGTTGTTGTTGTTGTTGTTAATTATCAACTTAAATGGGAATAGTCCTTTGTCTTAATTATTTACTAATGTTATTGAGTGTGTATTTGTGAAATGTTTAATAAAATGAATTAGTATCACAATTATTTTAAAACTATAATGTTAAGAGTGTACTAGATCTAAAATTTCATGACATTTTATATCATTATATGTTGTTGTTGTGAAGTGCTGT